TTTCAATGGAAACATGTTGGTCTTTGTCTAAAAAAAGAGGGGTGGGTTTCGTTGCCGGAGCATAACTTGAAAACCGTTTTATATTTTTCAGCAAAAATTGGCTGATATATCAAACAGAATCTAAAGTGGTGCCTTTTGCTGTTGGCAGATTTTTGTCTTTTGTATTTTTCTTTGTTTCCATGGAAACGATTTGGACATTTGGGGAGGGCTTCATTTCCGGAGCACAACTCGAAAACCTTTCAATATCTTTCAACAATACTTGGCAGATATATGAGGCAGACCCCAAAGTGGTGTCTTTTGCTATGTACAGATTTTTGTCATTTTTATTTTTCTCAGTTTCCATGAAAACGATTCAGACTTAGTCTCTAAAGGAAGGTGGGGCTTTCGTTTCCGGAGCATAACTCGAAAACCATTCAATATCTGTCAACAAAACTTGGTAGATATATCAAACAGAACCTAAGGTGGTGCCTTTTGCTATTTACAGATTTTTGTCATTTTTATTTTTCTCGGTTTCCATGGAAACATTTTGGACTAAGTCTTATAGGGGGAGTAGGCTTCGTTACCGGAGCATAACTCAAAAACCATTAAATATTTTTCAACAAAACTTGGTAGATATATCAAACACATCCTTAAGTGGTTCTTTTGCTACTTGCAGACTTTTGGCATTTTTATTTTTCCCGGTTTCCATGGAAACAATTTATACTTAGTCTCAAAAGGGAGGGGTGGGCTTCGTTTATGGAGCACAACTCAGAAACCTTTCAGTATCTTTCAACAAAACGTGGCAGATATATGAGGCACATCCCAAAGTGGTGCCTTTTGCTATTTGCAGACTTTGTCATTTTTTATTTTTCCTGGTTTCCATGGAATCAATTTGAACTTAGTCCCAAAAGGGAGGGGTGGGCTTCGTTTCCGGAGCACAACTTAAAAACTTCTTAATATCTTTCAGCAAAACTTGGCAGATATGTGAGGCAGATCCCAAAGTGGTGCCTTTGGTATTTGCAGATTTTTGTGATATATTATTTTCTCGGTTTCCATGGAAACGATTCGGACTTAGTCTCAAAAGGGTGGGGTGGCTTTCGTTTCCGGAGCACAACTGGAAAATTTCTTAATATCTTTCAGCAAATCTTGGCAGATATGTGAGGCAGATGCGAAAGTGCTGCCTTTTGCTATTTGGCAGATTTTTGGCATATTTATTTTTCCTGGTTTCGATGGAAACGGTTAGGACTTAGTCCCAAAAGGGAAGGGTGGGCTTCATTTCCGGGGCACAACTCAAAAGCGTTCAGTATCTTTCAACAGAACTTGGCAGATATATTAGGCAAATTTTGAAATGATGCTTTTTTGCTCTTTACAGATTTTTGGCATTTATATTTCTCATGATTTCCATGGAAACGATTTGGACTTAGTTTAACAAAAAGTCAAGCTGGACTTTAAGTAACTGTGAGATGATTTGTTCTTTCAAATATGTCGGGGCCGGGGGGATGTGTCATCTCCTGATGACTCTTGTTATCCCATCGGCATGTAATGCGGTGGGATATAGTCGTCGCCTCGTCCGTCTGTCCGTCCGTCCGTCCGTCCGTATTCATTTTGTTTCCGGAGCATAACTCAAAGACCGTTCGATATTTTTTAACCAAAATTGGTAGATATGTCAAACATAACCTAAGGTGGTGCCTTTTGCTATTTACAGATTATTGTCATTTTTATTTTTCTCGGTTTCCATGGAAACATTTTGGACTTAGTCTTAAAGAAGGGCGGGTTTCGTTTCCGGAGCATAACTCAAGAACCGTTCAGTATTTCTCAACAAAACTTGGTAGATATATCAAACAGATCCTAAAGTGGTGCCTTTTGCTATTTACAGATTTTGGCATTTTATTTTCCCGGTTTCCATGGAAGCGATTCGGACTTAGTCCCAAAAGTGAGGGTGGGCTTCGTTTCCGGAGCACAACTCAAAAACTTCTCGATGTCTTTCAGCAACACTTGGCAGATATGTGAGGCAGATCCCAAAGTGGTGCCTTTTGCTATTTACAGATTTTTGGCATTTTTATTTTTCCCGGTTTCCATGGAAACGATTCGGACTTAGTCCCAAAAGTGAGGGGTTGGCTTCGTTTCCGGAGCATAACTCAAGAACCATTCTATATTGTTCAACAAAACTTGGTAGATATATGAAACAGAACCTTGAGTGGTGCCTTTTGCTATTTGCAGATTTTTGTCATTTTTATTTTTCCCGGTTTCCATGGAAACATTTTGGACTTAGTCTCAAAAAGTAAGGATTGCTTTCGTTTCTGGAGCATAACTCAAGAACCAATCAATATTTTTCAACAAAACATGGTAGATATATCAAACAGATCCTAAAGTTGTGCCTTTTGCTATTTGCAGATTTTTGGCATTTTTATTTTTCCCGGTTTCCATGGAAACGATTCAGACTTAGTCCCAAAAGTGAGGGGTTGGCTTCGTTTCCGAAGCACAACTCAAAAACTTCTCAATGTCTTTCAGCAAAACTTAGCAGATATGTGAGGCAGATCCCAAAGTGGTGCCTTTTGCTATTTGCAGATATTTGTGATTTATTGTTTTTTTGGTTTCCATGGAAATGATTCAGACTTAGTCTCAAAAGGAAGGAATGGGTTTCATTTCCGGAGCATAACTCAAGAACCATTCAATATTTTTCAACAAGACTTGGTAGATATATCAAACAGAACCTTAAGTTGTGCCTTTTGCTATTTACAGATTTTTGGCATTTTAATTTTTCCTGGTTTCCATGGAAACGATTCGGACTTAGTCCCAAAAGTGAGGGGTGGGCTTCGTTTCTGGAGCACAACTCAAAAACTTCTCAATGTCTTTCAGCAACACTTGACAGATATGTGAGGCAGATCCTAAAGTGGTGCCTTTTGCTATTTACAGATTTTTGGCATTTTTATTTTTCCCGCTTAGTCCCAAAAAGTGAGGGGTTGGCTTCGTTTCCGGAGGATAACTCAAGAACCGTTCTATATTGTTCAACAAAACTTGGTAGATATATGAAACAGAGCCTTGAGTGGTGCCTTTTGGTATTTGCAGATTTTTGGCATTTTTATTTTTCCCGGTTTCCATGGAAACATTTTGGACTTAGTCTAAAAAAGTACGGATTGCTTTCGTTTCCGGAGCATAACTCAAGAACCGTTCAATATTTTTCAACAAATCATGGTAGATATATCAAACAGATCCTAAAGTTGTGCCTTTTGCAATTTGCAGATTTTTGGCATTTTTATTTTTCCCGGTTTCCATGGAAACGATTCGGACTTAGTCCCAAAAGTGAGGGGTGGGCTTCGTTTCCGGAGCACAACTGGAAAACTTCTTAATATCTTTCAGCAAAACTTAGCAGATATGTGAGGCAGATGCTATTTGCAGATATTTGTGATTTATTATTTTCTCAGTTTCCATGGAAACAATTTGGACTTAGTCTCAAAAGGGAGGGGTAGGTTTTGTTTCCGGATCACAACGCGAAAACTTCTTAATATCTTTCAGCAAAACTTGGCAGATATGTGAGGCAGATCCCAAAGTGGTGCCTTTTGCTATTTGCAGATTTTTGTCATTTATATTTTTCATGATTTCCATGAAAACGATTTGCACTTAGTCTAAAATCAAGCTGGACTTTAAGTAACTGTCAGATGATTTGTTCTTTCAAAGATGTGGAGGCCGGGGGGATATGTCATCTTCTGATGACTCTTGTTTTTATTTTCATGACTTCCATGGAAACACGTTGGACTTTGTCTCAAAAGGGAGGGGTGGGCTTCGTTTATGGAGTGCAGAGAAAGGGACAGCCAGGTGTTCGAGAAGCACGTTCACAGACAAAGTTATTTATTCATTAACCTGTGCTGTGCTGTCTCCATCCGTTCTCGAACACCTGGCTGTCCTTTTCTCTGCACTCCTCCCTCGTAACAAATAGTGAACTTGGTCAATATTTTAATGATAGATTGTTAAACAACTTTTTTAGTTTTAGGACAAAAATTCTGCAAAAACCTCACAGAGTGGGTATGATGTTTTGATTATGATCAGCGTTTCATTGAGTATATTATGTTTATTAGTTTTCGAGTTAGATTGCAATTCATCGGTCCCCTTTTGAGCCAAACGGACTATAGTGGTAGTGCTCTTTTCCGGAGCAGAACTCTAAAATCATTCAATATTTCTTCACCAAACTTGGCACATAGATAGATCTGGTGGTGTACTGGTGCCTTTTGGTAGTTTGGAATTATAAATAAAATATTTTTGCGTTTCCATGGCAACAAATTCGACTTAGACTGAAATTAATGGTAGTGCTCTTTTCTGGAGCAGAACTTTAAAAAATCTTTCAATACTCACCTTCCACTTTTCTATATACACACCTAAATATTTGACATAATCATAACTCGTAGACATAATCATGAAGAGTATTTTGCCATTGTGGGGGATATTGATGACTTTGTCTTCTTGTTTCACTTTGGAAAACTGTCATATGTTAGCATTCGCTTTACCATATTCTATGCATTTAGCTCTCCCTCACTAATAAGCACCCCGACTGGAAATATGTAGTGTGCGTAGTAAAGTCTGAGCCATTTTCAGCATGTTAAAGGTATCTTAAGATCTGGTTGAATGTTTAACAAATTGGAGATGTTTCTATGTGTTAGCTCAGTTTAACTATGTATACTTCCTATGTTATTTTCTATCCCTGCTAATCAAATATCCCAAACATTGAAGTGGTATCTGTAAATAATCAAGTCCAGACCAGACAAAACAGTGATCAAGAACATGAGCATCGGCCTACACAATTGGAATATGATGACATGTGTCAACCAAGTCATTGAGCCTGACCACCCAATCCTGTTAGTCGCTTTTTATGACAAACATGGGTTGCTGAAGACCAACTGTAGCCCGGATGACTGCTTACTGGGTGACTGCTGCAATGATCGCAATGATACCAAGAGGGGCTTCAAACTTCAGTAGCACACTCCATCTTCTTTATTTCATTATTTCGTACACCAATTTTTTTCCAGGATCAGGCACCTTGATTGTGAAAGATGACCCTGTACCCCTGTCACCATCTGGCAGACAGAAACTGCAGAACCTCTTGGAATGCCATCTGGTGGCAGAATCCAGTGATGACCAGATCAAGTGGAGACAACCCCCATCAGCTGGAAAGGACCAGGTGGAAGAAGGTGAGACTCCATAACAAAATTAATCTGAGCTGGGATATCAGCTGGATACTTTTGGTATCAGTGTGTTAAAAGACTTCACACCCTCAGTTATAGCGTAAGGTAGTCAACAGGCTTATTTTCTTCTTTGTACCAGTATTCAGGGATTGATCTGAGGAAAAGTCTGCTAATAAACAGTGCCTGACAGTGTTGAAAAGAAAATACGTATACAAGCCTAGATTCATGTGTTGGTGTACACATCTGGTGTCCACTGCTGTGATATTGCTCGAATATTGCTAAAAGCGGCTTGCAATATTGCTACTCACTCACTCACTCACTGACCGCCTCCGTGGTGTCACTCCACCACTCAAGGTCACTCCCTCACTCACTCCCTGCCTCACTCACTCACAACAGGACTGGTCTACTCAGTCAGTCAATCACTGGGATATTCATGCTTCACTCTTCTGACATGGTATCTCAATCTAGCACTATAAAACCACTTTTAGAAGACCTTCACAGGTGATTACATCTGGTGAATTTTCTATTCAGCTAATATTCAGCATTCAGCTTTCTGGTTCGATGTATGAGCAGCAGAAGTATTCCAAGCAGAGTTTCATACTTGATAACAAAATGAAACAGGCTATTAACAATATACAGACCCTGTCTTTCCTGTTTACAAATACTATTAAGGGCATTGTGCAGAATTCTTTTTGTCCAGACCAAATTTCCAATGTAGAGGTGGTGTAGACATGAAGCCAACTTGTTCAAGATTACTGACAACAAGCTTGACATGAACCCTATCCTGACTGTCTGTGTTTCAGGTGTTTGTCAATATATTCTTTCAGATGAGGCACATTCATTAGAGGATCTATTTTCTTCCTGGAATAACCCTGTGTTGGAAATTCCACTGAAGGTGAGACAACATTTCACTGTTCACCCATTGGCCACAAATCTCTCCCAAACCCATACCATGGCCTGGATCTGACCACCCGATACACTAAGGTGCCTCTTAGGCGTGAGTGAGTAGTCCTCATGACTCCTCTCAGATCTGACTCACTCCTTCACTCACTCGCTCACTCACTCACTCGCTCACTCACTCACTAACTCACTCACTCACTCCTAAGAAGCACCTTAGTGTATCGGTTGGTCAGATTCAGTGTCATGGTTTATTCTCGTCATCTCCTGACTGCATAGCTTGTTGTTCATGTCCATTTCCATCGTGTGTCAGGAATATTGCTGCGAATGATGTTGGACATGTGACACAACAAATATAACAGTCGATGTTTACCTTTCAGTCATGTGTCAGTGCGGAGGTGTCACACACAAGTAAAGCAGCCACGAGGTCCTTCAAGTCTCTCTACCCCACCAAGTTCACTAAGGCCATGCTGAAGAGCTTCCAGGTAAAATGGGCTGTGGGGTAGCGGTTAAAGCATCCGTTCATAACACCGAAGTCCCAGGTTCAATTCCCTTCATGGGTACAATGTCTGAAGCCAATTTCTGGTGTTCCCCGCAGTGATATTGCTGTGGTATTGCTAAAAGTGGTGTAAAAACCATACTCACTCACTCCAGGTAAAAGACTACTCTGAGGTCTCTGGGAACTAGATGATAAATTATCTCAACCATGACCATGGTTTAATTTGCAGTGTACAAGAAAACTGACCTTAATCATACTACACATGGAATGTTTTTTTTTCATCTATACTGAACTGCAAAAGAAACGTCATCTTTCAAAACCAAATGCAAAATTTTGTTCTTACAAGGTGGTGTTTTTATTATGATTGTACCGTTTGGTTAACATGTTTTTCAATCCAAATAGACAGTTATTACCAACAAAAGTGTTTTCTGATGAAAAAGCATATCAAACAAATGTACCTAAAAAGACAGACATGGTAAAAGGTTTCCTATGACATTTGTGAAAATGAATGAAAGCAAGTCCCAAACTCAAATGAAATCAATCATGTTTTGACACAATATCCATGCCATGACTTACAAGAAGTCAGAGGAACCAAGCCGTGGGATGATTGCAAGTTAGTCAGACTGCGCGGAGGGTAGCCAATCATTTTAATGTTCATTTGAGGATAATGTATCGACTGCAGTAGTCGTATCAGGCCACTAACAGCATCCAAGACCGTACATGCAGTGGACAACCTTCAGTATCATCACAACGTCAAGACTGGCAGATTGTGCGCAACCATCTGCAGGATCGTTGCACCAGAGCTGCGGAAACAGCACGCCAGGCCACTGGGACTCACAACAGACCCATTAGTGACAATACAGTGCGTCGGCGTTTGCACGTTTGCACATCGTGGTCCTGTCCTCACCGCTCGTCACCGCCAAAGCCGACTGCAATGGGCAACTCAGCATCGAAATTAGCATAATAGACAACTGAGTTTTTTTCTGATGAAAGCCGATACAGTGTTTCGACAGAGTGAGGGTTTGGCGAAGTTGTGGGGAATGGTTTTCCAATGAGTATATTGTTGAAAGAGACTCGTGGTGTGGTCCATGCATCATGGTGTGGGGTGCAATCAGTCTGAACCAGAGAGTTGTCCCTGTGGTTCCAGGATCTCGGTCCAAGATGAGGAAATAGTGAAACAGGTGCTCGTTATATTGACCATGTCTTAAGACCCACGTTGTACCACATTTTGGACGTCATGGAAATCACATCTTACAGCAAGACAATGCTCGTGCCCACACTGCCAGAGCAACATTGGACTTCTGAGACAACATGGTATCCAAACCCTACAATAGCCTGCACTCAGCCCGGATTTAAGTCCAATTGAACTCCTCGATGAGGCATTTCGCAGAGTATGGACCCAAGTGCTTGTAGCCTTCATCAACCAGCTAATTCATTCCATGTACAGACGATGCAATGCTGTCATTGATGCCTATGGAGGCCACACACGATACTGACTTTGAGGTATCCTAATGGTACCATTTTGTGATTTTGTTTGTGTGAACTCTAAATGTGATTCCCGAAAATGGGTTGACCATAATTGTAAAATTTGAACTCAATCGTCTGTTTTGATTGTTAATTAGAGCAAATTAAAGTGTGTGCTTTTAGAAACCTCTATTGGTATGGTGTTTCCTTTGTGGCTCAGCATATTTGAAATATGCCCTAGGACATTGATGTTAAAATTAAAAAACACGGTTTGGCTGGTTTTAGAAAGGTGCATAGTGTATAATTCTGGATTCATGCTGGTAGACTGAGTGAAGTAATTTCAGGTTAGTTAAAGAAACACCTCAGGGTGTCCAAAGGCCCGCATACCAATTAGTTGAATTTCTAATGTCAGAGAAGTAAAATGCAGTCGACGAATGAGCATTGTGATCTTAGCAATCAATTAATTTATTAGACATTGGAACATACCAAAAAAAGACACAAGGGGTGTTGGGACTCTCTTTATTTAATTTTGTATATCGTAAATGAGTGCTTGCTGTCAGTTGTTCAATGCTTTTATCTCAAACACCGTGAACTATGGCTGTGAAGTATGGGGAACAACATTCGCGACTGAAATTGAATGTATCTATCTCAAGTTATTAAAACGAATTCTAAAAGTCCACACAAAATCAACAAATGCTGCTGTCTACGGGTAGATCTGGTGTAATTAGCTCAAAATATCTGACTCAGACAGTGTGTAACAATATGAAGGTGTAATAACTGTAATGATTACTTTCTTCTTTGATATGAATCTTTCATGAGTTTTCATAAGGTACTACATTCCACACACTGGTATGCACAAAGAGTTTACACCAGTGTTACCAGCGTCAGTGGATCAGTATGCACTTGAATTTCATTCCCAACTCCCTGAGGCACTTTCAAGATGGTTCTCATGAAGTCAGTTTTCTCTGATGTGTTTAAGGTCCTGGGCCAAGTTGACAACAAGTTTATTGCCTGCGTTCTCCAGACTGAGGAACTGAATTCTTCGAAAGGTTTGTTTTATATGATAAGGTTTTTTTCCCGCAGGATTTTTACTCCCAAAAGGCCATAGATTCATTTCAGCATTGAAAAAGGCCCTAATTGCCAGTGATTTGCTCTAAAAAGAGCCTTTATGCAGCAAAACTTGTCAAGTTATGATTTTACAGGAAATTGATAATAAAAATACCTTGCAATGACTGTGGCGTTATTTAATCTCCACTCTGAAAAAGATTTTCGCAGTGCAGTAATGTATCTAAGAGTTATTCCCTCTGATGGTCGGTTTTTTTTGCACTTGTTTTAGCTCCTGATCTTATTGTGTTGTTTGACCAACATGCAGCACATGAGAGAGTACGTCTTGAACAGTTGACAGAAGGTGAGGAAGGAGTTACTTCCCTTTGAAAATCTATGTATGAGAAGCTTATTGTACGACTCCGATTTGTTTTTAATTGATATGAACTTATTAACCAACAGTTGTGTTTCTCTGCTAAAACTGAATACTTAAAAATGGGCCAAGTGTGAATGTATCTGTTGAATTAAATGTTATTTAATGTACTGCTGTGAAATCTTGTCAGTCTGGACAGTACTGGTTCCAGTGAAATTATGCAGATTTCCAGATAAATGGAAAAAAAGGACACTAAGTACAAGTGTATTTTGGAATGTTTGTTTCCTGTGTGGACCATCAGGGTTCCACTGAGTGCCTTTGAGATAAATGAAGCTATTGAGTAACAATGCTGGTGTACTTCATTTAATACAGGGGAGGTGGGGTATCCTAGTGGTTAAGGTGTTCGCTCGTCATGCCGAAGACCCATGTTTGATTCCCCAAATGGGCACAAGGTGTGAAGCCCATTTCTGGTGTCCCCCTCCGTGATATTGCTGGAATATTGCTCAAAACGACGTAAAACTAAACTCACTCACTCACTCATTTAATACATGTAATGTCTTGCAGATATCTATGTAAACAGTGATGACGTGACTGACTGCTCAATCAAATCCAGCCAGGTCTCACCTCCTAGGACCTTGACCTTTACGGAGGAGAATGTCCGCCTGATAAAATCTTTCAGGGATGAATTCAAGAGGATAGGTACATTCTTGCACTAGTCCTAGTCACTGTAATAAGTATTTAGAATTCACTCAGGGAAACAAGAATGCTGTATCTGATCATGTGCTGTTTGACGGAATGAAAATTTGGGATTAGCGACTTAGCTGATTGTGTGTCATGGCACGCAAAGAACATGGGTTGATGATAAAGTTTGTCATAACATCCGTGTCCGTTTTGACTCAATTGTTATCACTCACCCATCATGCAGTGGGAGTATTTTTGAGTGTGGGCTTTAACTCTTTACAAAATCATTATATGAACAGAAACAGCTTGATGAAATTTTAATGGCATATGAGATTTGCTGTTTTTGAGTGTAATGTACACAACTTTATTTCATACCCATTGAATCTAACGATAACAAACAGTAGTGCAATACGGCAAGCTCATGCAAATTCTGTATTGTACTCTTTATTATCCCCCGCGTGCGTGCGTCCATCCATCTGTCCGTCCGTGCACATTTGTCTTTTCCGGAACAGAACTCTAAAACCGTTCAATATTTCTTCGCCAAACTTGGCACATAGATAGATCTGGTGGTGTACTGGTGCCTTTTGGTAGTTTTGGAATTCTGAATAAAATATTTTTGGCGTTTCCTTGGCAACAAGTTTGACTAAGCCTGAAATTGATGGTAGTGCTCTTTTCCGGAGCAGATATCTAAAACCGTTCACTATTTCTTCACCAAACTTGGCACATCGATAGATCTGGTGGTGTACTGGTGGCTTTTGGTAGTTTTGGAATTCTGAATAAAATATTTTTTGCTTTTCCGTGGCAACAAGTTTGACTTTGCCTGAAATTGGTGGTAGTGCTCTTTTCTGGAGCTGAACTCTAAAACCGTTCACTATTTCTTCACCAAACTTGACACATAGATTGGTCTGGTGGTGTACTGGTTCCTTTTTGATAGTTTTGAAATTCTGAATAAAATATTTTTGGTGTTTCCATGGCAACAAGTTTGACATAGACTGAAATTAGTGATAGTGCTCCTTTATGGAGCATAACTTTAAAAACCTTTCAATACTCTCCTTCCACTTTTCTATGTATACACCTAAATATTTGACATAATCATAACTCGTAGACATAATCATGAAGAGTATTTTGCCATTGCGGGGGATATTAATGACTTCGTCTTCTTGTTTGCAGATCTCTTTCCAATGTTGACCTCATTTCTAAAAAGTATCCCAAACAAAATCTTTGAAACATAGTATTTATATGGAAGTTGTTTTGTGGCAAATATTATTCTACTTTGTTTCTTTTGTGATGAGAATCTGGCACTTGATTGATGATAGGTGGATTAATGCTTTACATGTGTGATACATCCCTTGAGCAATGTAATACTCAGGTCATACTATTATCAATGCAGGAGTTTGTTTCAATAGTGGCATTTAGAGTCAGACTGACAGTTGGTGTCATGAAAAGGGTATGTTGTAGATATAGAACGTCATACCTAGTGTATTTGGACCTAGTGTATTGAACGAGAAGATGTCGTAGGAGAGAGACAACAATCTGTTTCTCTCCTATCATGACATCATCTTGTCTAATCCATAAGTACAGTACTATGACATTCTCTGTATGTATGTTTCAGGTGTGACGTTCACCATCAACGGCTCATCCCGAGATTCACTCAACATCCACTCCATCCCTGCATGTCTGGTTGAGAGAGAGGCAAACGAAGTGCGCAGAGGCAGGGAATCGGTTGTCATGGACATTGTAGAGGTAGAGTTCCTGTTTTGGGGATTTGGCATGATTTAAATAGTCACTTTTGGTATCACATAGTGAGTGAGGGAGGAAGCGACCTTTAGCAATATTCCAGCAATATCAAGGCAGGGGACACCAGAAATGGGCTTCACACATTGTGCACATTTAGAAAAATGCATCCATATGCATATGTATTGTACATTGTGTTAAAAGAATTTTTGGTTACTTAAGTTAAGAATGTAATCCTTATGTATCTTACTAATATTGTGGTTAAAGTGAGTGAGTGAGGTTAGTTTTACGCCGCTTTTAGCAATATTCCAGCAATATCACTGGGCTTCATTGTACCCATGTGGGAATCGAACCCGGGTCTTTGGCGTAACGAGCGAACACGTTAACCACTAGGCTACCCCACTGCCCCTTGTGGTTAAAGCATCACCTGGACAGCAAGGCTCAACTCTGTAGCATGTTACAGTGTGTAAAGTCTTATCTTGTGTACCCTGACATACATTTAGAATTTTCCAGGCAACAGGTTTTGTATTATTTTTTGTAGATAAGAAAATAATACACAGCATCAAGACAGAAATACCAGTGTTGCAGTTTGAGTGGCAAACAGAAGAATCTGTTGTTTGATATCACACAATCTTGAATTTATTTCAAAATTTGATTTTGGTACTACCCCTAATGAATGTGAAGATTAACATTGTGTCTGAGAAATATGTATATTATGTCTCCCCTTTTTGTATTTCAGATCTTAATCAAAGACCATCTTGAGGTAAGAAGATGTTTTGTTGTTATATTCCCCCAAATTTTGTGGAAAGATTTCAAGGACAGCTTAGGTCCACAGTACCCTGTAAAAGACGGCTGCCACCATATAGGTAGCATATTTAGTAGTTAGTCATTACCCAATAGACAAATTGAAAGAGTGAGTGAGTTTAGTTTCAGCAATATTCCAGCTATATGTCAATCCAGGGATCAACAGTATGAGCATCGTTCTACGCAGTTGGGATACAATGACATGTGTCAACCAAGGTAGCGAGCCTGCCCACCCGATCCTATTAGTCGCCTCTTACGACAAGCATGTGTTTCAGAAGACCAATTCTAATCCGGATCTTCACGGGTCGAAGAGATGATGACAAGGAGGATGAGTGGCTGTCTGGCTGATAGTGTCATGGTTGTAGGTTATGGTATCAATCACATATTTGCCTGGCCCACACTTGAGAACTTGCAGGCTGCTGTTATAGCACTTGAACATCTTAGATGTTGCTAGCAACAGCATTTACAACATTGCTCAACCAAGGTTTTCCTTGATAGGTGCTGAAGATGATGAGAGGAGCCAGAAGTCGACTGCCACAAACCATTCACAAGGTGCTGTGCTCTCAGGCCTGTCATGGTAAGGTCACTGTTGGTAATGTAGAACCATTGCACTTTTGATTGTCAGAAAATAGTTTGGCTTCTGAACACTGCCTGCTGATCACCAAGTCATCTTGGTTCGAAATATATTTTGCATAACTCTTTTTCTGTGATAGAATTCATACCATGAGCAGTGCTAAGGCTTAAGTATTAACCCTCTAAATAATTTTAATCTAAGTTATTACTGAAACTGTATCTTATACTGTTCCAGGGGCTATTAAGTTTGGAGACAGCTTGACTTTGTCCCAGTGTAGAGAGCTTCTAGAGTCGCTGGCAGAGTGCAACCTTCCGTTCCAGTGTGCGCACGGTCGGCCATCTGTCATGCCTTTGCTCAGCCTACAGCAGCTTCATGCTAAAGTTCCACCAGAGGTAAGTCTATATGTGCTGTTATTTAGCCTACAGCAGCTTCATGCTAAAGTTCCACCAGAGGTAAGTCTATATGTGCTGTTATTTAGCCTACAGCAGCTCCATGCTAAAGTTCCACCAGAGGTAAGCCTATATGTGCTGTTATTTAGCCTACAGCAGCTTCATGCTAAAGTTCCACCAGAGGTAAGCCTATATGTGCTGTTATTTAGCCTACAGCAGCTTCATGCTAAAGTTCCACCAGAGGTAAGCCTATATGTGCTGTTATTTAGCCTACAGCAGCTTCATGCTAAAGTTCCACCAGAGGTAAGCCTATATGTGCTGTTATTTAGCCTACAGCAGCTCCATGCTAAAGTTCCACCAGAGGTAAGCCTATATGTGCTGTTATTTAGCCTACAGCAGCTCCATGCTAAAGTTCCACCAGAGGTAAGCCTATATGTACTGTTATTTAGCCTACAGCAGCTTCATGCTAAAGTTCCACCAGAGGTAAGTCTATATGTGCTGTTATTTAGCCTACAGCAGCTTCATGCTAAGGTTCCACCAGAGTTAAGCCTATATGTGCTGTTATTTAGCCTACAGCAGCTTCATGCTAAAGTTCCACCAGAGGTGCTTCCTATATGTGCTGTTATTTAGCCTACAGCAGCTCCATGCTAAAGTTCCACCAGAGGTAAGCCTATATGTGCTGTTATTTAGCCTACAGCAGCTTCATGCTAAGGTTCCACCAGAGGTAAGCCTATATGTACTGTTATTTAGCCTACAGCAGCTTCATGCTAAAGTTCCACCAGAGGTAAGCCTATATGTGCTCTTATTTAGCCTACAGCAGCTTCATGCTAAAGTTCCACCAGAGGTAAGTCATTCTGTTATTTAGCCTACAGCAGCTCCATGCTAAAGTTCCACCAGAGGTAAGTCATTCTGTTTTTTAGCCTACAGCAGCTCCATGCTAAAGATCCACCAAAGGTAAGTCTATATGTGCTGTTATTTAGCCTACAGCAGCTTCATGCTAAAGTTCCACCAGAGGTAAGTCATTCTGTTTTTTAGCCTACAGCAGCTCCATGCTAAAGATCCACCAAAGGTAAGTCTATATGTGCTGTTATTTAGCCTACAGCAGCTTCATGCTAAAGTTCCACCAGAGGTAAGTCTATATGTGCTGTTATTTAGCCTACAGCAGCTTCATGCTAAAGTTCCACCAGAGGTAAGCCTATATGTGCTGTTATTTAGCCTACAGCAGCTTCATGCTAAAGTTCCACCAGAGGTAAGCCTATATGTACTGTTATTTAGCCTACAGCAGCTTCAAGCTAAAGTTCCACCAGAGGTAAGCCTATATGTGCTGTTATTTAGCCTACAGCAGCTTCATGCTAAAGTTCCACCAGAGGTAAGCCTATATGTGCTGTTATTTAGCCTACAGCAGCTTCATGCTAAAGTTCCACCAGAGGTAAGTCATTCTGTTTTTTAGCCTACAGCAGCTCTATGCTAAAGATCCACCAGAGGTAAGTCTATATGTGCTGTTATTTAGCCTACAGCAGCTTCATGCTAAAGTTCCACCAGAGGTAAGCCTATATGTGCTGTTATTTAGCCTACAGCAGCTTCATGCTAAGGTTCCACCAGAGGTAAGCCTACATGTGCTGTTATTTAGCCTACAGCAGCTTCATGCTAAAGTTCCACCAGAGGTAAGCCTATATGTGCTGTTATTTAGCCTACAGCAGCTTCATGCTAAGGTTCCACCAGAGGTAAGCCACTCAAACTGGAGCAGTGTACTCAATCAGTCAAGCATGTACTCAACCAAGAGCAGCTTCATGTTAGTCCCACATTAGGTAGTCTGGGGTTAGCCTCAACTCATATTTGGTAGATTCTGAATACTTGATCCTAGTTCACAATTTTGCAATGGTTGACAATAGATCACCCTCTACTTGGCATGCAAGAATATTCCAGGGTCATTCACACAGAGCAAGACTTCCAAACAGTATAATTTACCAGCTTGGTAAAATGAGGCTACTTTTAGGTCTTTAGGTCTTTATTCTTTAGGTCAGAATTTGACCACCATCACTCTTTGGTTTTTTTTTTACCTAGGTGTGCTTGGGCATCTAAAGATATGTGTCTTCTTTCTAGCCATTGCAGTTTTTGTCCATGTAACCGAGTCATGTTAAAAGTTAAAGGTCATAGCCTAGCAAAATATGTGTAAACTGAAAACACATGTCAGTGAAGCTTGTTACAGCCTTGGGTTGAGACCTTGATCTGAAACTGTTGTAACCCATTGAGGCCATTGTGATGGTGTGTTTTTTCACCTTTCTATGAGATTTGATCATAATATCATTAAATATCAGAAGAAGGTGTTCACATTGACCTATCTTCAGTGAGTATAATATCCAATTTGATCTGAGAAACTGAGAATTAGGATATCATATCATGTCTATTGCCTTTACAACCACCAGGTAAAATCATTGTGAAAAATCAGTTTGATACGTAAAGGGTCAAGATTGTTCTCTGGGTCAAGGCCTGAATAAGTATTCAATCAATCTCTACAATACTTGCCTTACTTGTGGTGAAATCAACACAGATACAACATATTCCAAAATTTATCATTATTTGCACTTCTATCATTGTCTAAGGCAGATTTTATCTTGTTTCAGAAAACCAAACGTCCAAGCTTGTGGAAAATATCCAGGCATCTCTCCATCCATCAATGAACTTATGAAAACTTGATTATTTGATATTAATTTTATCTTGCAAAAATAAGTTTGCTGCAATCAATCTGTGATAACTATTTTGAGCATTTACTTTTACCTTTGTTCAGTGTTAGTGATTTGATTTTTTCATTCACGTCAACGGAATCTAACGACGGCCTGATGATTACTAGAACTCTGTGATAAGCTGTTGAAAATGCATTATGATTTTTATGAATGCACTTCTCATTAAAGAAACTATACACAGGGAACCAATTTGTCATCTTTGTAATTCAAAATCAAATGATATCACGCTGCACCCATTGCCCTCCTTGTTGTCCCCCCACTGCAATGCGAAACAGGTGAATGTATTCAGCATCGTCCGTACGTCCGCCCGTACATACGTACGTCCTGATTCTTGTTAACGCGATATCTCATGAACTGTTGTACCCAATGTCTTCAAATTTGGTGACAGCCTACAGCCTACATGGTGACAGCCTGGGCCCTGTTTCACAAAGCTATCGTAGTGCTACGAATGTCGTAAGTCTATGTTACAGTATAGGAGGTACGACAGTCGTAGCGCTACGATAGCTTTGTGAAACAGGGTCCAGTCTATTTGGGTGACCTTGACCTTATTCTCAAGGTCACCAAGACACTTTGACCACTTTTCAAACTCTTGTTAATGCAATATCTCATGAACTGTTGTACCCAATGTCTTCAATTATGTCGACAGCCTACTATGGGTGATTATGCAGCCACCAGTCATTTCAGGAATCTTATGTGACCAAAACATATAAACTAGTGAGCGTGTTATAAATATTCATTCTTCTTTAGCAGCGAGGGACATTGCCATATTAGTGGCAAACACTTGTTTTCTTGGTGACCCATCTATCCTGGTGAAAGGAATAAAACAATTACTCGTGATATTTCATTCTCCATAGATTTTCCATTTTCAGACATGCAATTTTTTTGAAAAATTCGTTTCATGAGGAATATATTGACAATGAAAACTGAAGCATGTCAGCAAATATTTTGAACATATGATAAAGTTTCTGTCATTTGTATGAAATATGTTATCTGTGTGGGCAGAACATAAGCACATTTGTCATGAGAACTGACAATGTGTGATGGACCTGGTTGTCATTATGCCCATTATTGCTATTGTGCGGTCAACCAGTCTTGATAACCGACTGCTCCAACACGTCTAGAATATTGATGACTGGGCCTAAAGTGGCTTTCAGTCACTGTCAAGAGTGAGGAGTGTGTCCCTAACACTGGCTTGAAGTGCATGTCGGTTATGTCAGTGCATGTGAAATTGATGTGGACGTCCAATGTGGCCAAAGATATTTACCACCTTGATTAAACCTGCGAGCTCAGATATGGTTCTTTCATGCCTGGAACAGGATCAGGAAGACTTGGGGATTTGAACAAAGGATCTTAGGTTTCTGGCAAGTCAAAGGTGAGCAGATTGTGGCACTTTAGACAACTGGACCACCCTTGCCATCATTTTGTCATAATTCCAAGTGTGTAAAATCCTTTGACGTGATGGTCTACATTAAATCTGTACAGTAATGCTTATATGTTTGGCAAAACAACTTTCAGGACAATCAACACAATACTGTATTAAAGCAACATGCATGTCAGTTTGACACAACCTTCTTAATTTTTAACTTACCTTACCATAGGTCTTATGCATATTACCTCAAGCTCCGCCTAAAGAGATCAGACAGTCGTTGATTCGCCATTCTATAGAACGGCCACCTCGTGTATCGACGAGTGTACAGGCAACGGAAGTGACGTGATCTCCCCTCCCGCGCAAGCGCGGTCCATCCAAAATCACTTTTACTTCAAGCGTCTTGCTTGTCAGACGTTTTTGTTTCGCTAAGTTTTCAGACACTTACTAATAGATTTCAGATATTAAAGTTATTGGTATGTATGTTTTTCTATCTTATGTCTCTTCTCTGTGGGTGAAGAACATAATTTACAAGTAACTTCACTTACCTGGCTGCCTCGTGTTTTTTTTTTGTTTTTTCTTCACTTCGGTTTGGGGTGTGTCCCCACGTTCCGAGATTTTCCACGTGGCATGTTTGGGTGTTTTGATACCTCTAGGGTTCTTCCACCTTCTGTTTCATGCTTATTTATGTACAAGCTCTTATCGGGTTCCCCACAGTCATCTTACCGAGTGCAGGACTCCAAGATGTTGGCCATTGATGCGGAACTCAAGCGGATGTTGAAGCCTGTATCAGCGTTGGCCTCTGCAACTTCGGCTGCAGCTTGGGATTTGACGGAAGACAACACGTCACGGTTAGAACATCTTACCACCCTGTTTCAATGGCAGGGTAAGGTGTTGCATGATTTGCTGGCGCACCTCCGGGCGGCTTTGGCCATGACAACTGTTGTTCGGCGGATGGGTTTCCTGGAGCCCTGTTCTTGGCAGGAAGAGTTTAAAAGGAAACTGTTAAGAGCCCTTTTTGCGCCTCGCTTCCTCTTTAATGACGGCATTCGAGGTGTATAAGGAACACGCAGAGCTTACCAATACGGAGGTTTCTTTTGTCTACTTCGAAGCATTGAGTTCGCCTTTCGTGGGCAGATCATCTGCAAGGGGTAGAGGGAAGCGCCGTTCGTCGAAGAGACTCGTCCGCTGACGCCTCTGGCAGAGGACGCGGGCCGTGGCTGATCCGAACCTGTTTTTCATAGCCGTCAGCAGGATCGCCCCCGGACCCCCTTCGGCCGGGCAGGGGTAGGGGAGCGCCTTCCCTTCGGTCGCTGAAGTTGCGATCTAACACGACTGGGACCTCCCGCCCCAGTCGTTGCGGTTCGTCCTACTCCAGTAGGCGGAGACTGGGGATCTTCTGGCCCAATTGGACAATCCTGGAAGACCCGTTTGTCACCAACATTCTCAGGACCGGGTTACAAGCTGCCAATCGCCGTGTCGCCGCCTCTGACTTCAACGCCCCAGTCACGTGTGTATGCTCCAGACCAACAGTTACTGCTAGCAGACAGCATCCACACTCTGTTACGCCAAACAAGCTATAGAGACAGTGCTAGACCCGACATAGTCCCGGGGTTCTACTCACCAATCTTCCTGGTTCCCAAGAAGGACTCAGGAAACTACGCGATGATTCACAACATGGCAGTTTTCAACCACCTTTATCTTTCGAACCGCCTCACTTCCGCATGGTGTCCCTGGAACAGCTACGAGCCAAGCTTGCGCCCAGGGTCTGGTTGGCCAGCCTCGACCTTCAGGATGCCTACCTGCATGTGCCCATTTACCACCGTCCACAGAAAGTACCTGAAGTTCTTTTCAACGGGTCCCATTACCAGTGGAAAGTGCTTCCATTTGGAATTTCCACGCCCTGTGGCTTTTACCGGATTACCTCGCCGATCACCCGGTTCCTCCATCTCAGGGCATCGACTTCACCCTTATATAGACGACTGTCTCATGAACCACCTCGACCCTCAGTTGCTTCGCCAAACAGATGCACTTTGCCATTCATCTCTTTGCAGCAACTGGGATGGATTATCAACATAGACAAATCCCACCTGAGCCGTCCCAGGAACTGACGTTTATAGGAGGCTTCTTCCTGACACATTGCGACCTTTGTCAGGATTTCGCTAGATCGCTGGAGAAAGATTGTCAGTTTCAAGCCAACCGAGGTCTATCCCAGCCGCCGGTGCTCAGGGAGTGGCAGTCCTCTTAGGTCTCCTCACCTCAGCCCAGGACTTGACGCTCCAGAGGTCGCTTGATGCTTCGGCCGTTACAGCGCTTCCTGTTGCCTTACATCCAGGCGGACGACCTTCAGTTGAGGTTCCTTTTGCCCTGCGCATCTCCACGCTTACCTCCGTTGGTGGACTGTCGTGTCGAACGTCTGCGCAGGGAGTCTCCTTGACAGAGTTTGTTCACGATCACTTAACTGTTCATGGATGCGTCTCTTCAAGGTTGGGGTGCTCACCAACGACCAGACCACCTCGGGCTGTGGTCCGCACCGAGCTAGGATGGCACATCAACAACTTGGAGCTGCAAGCAGTCATTTTAGCGGTTCGACACTGGGTGCCTCTGTTGCGGAACACCAGGCTCCTGATAGCGTCCGGACAATTCCACGGTGGTGTGGTTGATTCACAATCAGGGAACGACCAGGTCAAACAGTTGTTGGAGCAGACGTTCCAACTGGCCAGTCTCCTGGACGACAATGGCATCAGCGCCAGAGCCCGACACATCCCAGGGTGCAAGAACGTTTTTGGCAGACGCTCTCAAGGCCGGGCAAACCGTCTCCAACAGAGTGGATGCTACATCCAGAAGCGTTCAAACTTTTTGTCACAGTCACGGCCGCCTCTGATCGACCTGTTTGCGACTGGCTTCGCTTCAACACACAGCTGCCGCTTAATGCGTTCTCGATTCCAGATCCAGCGGCATGGGCGGTCGGCACGCCATGTCCTTGTCGTGGGAGGGTCTGGGCGGTATGCGCCTTTCCACCACCAGTTCTGTTGCCAGCGTAATAGCAAAGGTCAAAGCGGACAGAGACGATTCGTCTGCTTTTGGTCGCGCCTTTGTGGCCAGCCAGAACCTGGTTCCCAGATCTGCGCCGTCTCGCCGAAAGAAGTCCGCAACAGTTACCAGACTGGCCTCACCTGCTCAGGCACCCCACAGTCGACAGTGGCATCCCGATCCGACTCGGTTTCATCTGTCGCGGTTGGATCATCTGCAAAGCGCGCTGAAGGCCAAGGGCTTCTCCGGGTGTCGCCAAAGTTATTGCTCGTGCTCATCGAGTCTCCACAAGATCACTCTATGATGATAAGTGGGTTTCTTTTGAGAAGTTTTGTGCACAGAAGTCCAAGGACCCGTTGAAAGCTTCTCCTCAGTTTATAGCAGAGTTCCTTCTCTTTCTTCGGAAGTCCCGGCGTCTCAAGGGCAACACTATAGGAACTTATTTATCGGCTCTTAACTCCGTTCTGCCGGTCAAGTGCGACAAAAAGATTTCCAAGGTGCCAGAACTCATCGCCGTCCTCAAAGCGTTTAAGCTGGAGGACCAGAAGGCAAAGCTCCGTCCTCCTGCTTGGGACCTTAAAGTCGTTCTTCGTCATCTCAGAGGTCCCCCTTATGAGCCCTTGGACACGGCTTCTTTTGAGAACCTCTCCAGGAAGACAGCCTTTCTCTTGGCCCTGGCCACAGCAGCTAGGGTTAGTGAGATCCACGCATTGGATGTCACCAGGGTGCGTTTTGAGCAGTCACGGCATGGTCTTGTTCATCTCGGACTGCTTTGGGATTTCGTGG